AAAAAATGCTACTATGTGAGCCACAGCAGAATGAGAATGCTTTGTTCTCCTGCGACTGTCGGTGAAGGCAAAGAGAAATCTAGCCTTGTGGCCCCTGAGGGCAGGGGGGGGAAACTTGCTTTTACACATACATGTAGACGATATGTTATATGACGACGTAGTTATTTGCCAGAGTTTCGAAACTCCTCAAGGATTTCACATAGTCAAACAACAGCGGAAGGAAGAGATAAATCTATTCTGTTACTGCCCCGATGGAATGCAAGTTACAAATAACCTGATGTACATGGACCATTTTGCTATAAGTTTAAAATTCGTCTTGCGCTTCATTCTGTTGTATCTTAAAACAACACGTTTGTTTAAAAAACAATACAACTCTATTATTTAAACCTTAACATTCATTACTGACCTATAGATTTCAGTTCTTGTGAGTGATCGTCAAGGGAGAAATAATTATGGAGTTTATATCAGGCAATAATCATATTTATACTTCTTAAATGTACAACGCTTAAATTACGAGTATAAAAATGCACTATTTTTACAACGCATGGTTTTAAGCCAATGTTCAATAATAACATAAAAATATAACATTTATTACACATTGTACATCTGAGAAATAAAATAGATTATTAATCTAAGCTGGAGAAAGTAAAGGAAGGTTGTTCCCTGTACACGCCGTGAAAGATTTACAGATAGAATAATCTATTCGGAAAAAGATACAAATCAAAGTAATTTTTTCCGGGTACTTTTATTGTAAATGGACGTCCTTTGAGCGATTTCGAAGGTGTAAAATTTGGAAAGTCTGATATAAATTTCACGTGGACGTTAAACAGAACGTATAAAAATTACGACATGGAGAGAGGAAATTATTTGGAGACGAATCAGTAGAAAAGTGTCGAATTCTGGTAATTACACAGACGAAATTAATTGCTGGAACATATTCATAAAATTCTCTCTGCAGCTATCGAAACTGAATAGCGTCGATAGATTCAGTGATTGTGTTTCAAACACCAAACTGACTTTCAACCGCGTTGACACAATTTTTAGTTCGATGTCATGAATAGTGTTCACTGTACGATATTGGTTTGACATTTGAAATACGTGTGAAATCTGTTCCCCCCCCCCCTCGCTTGACGAGAACTGAGGACAGAATCATAATATAAAGGTACATAATGAATCCTCCGAAACTGTTAAAATGTCTGTAAGCGACAGCAACAAATTAAATTTGAAATTCAAGAAGGAATTAATTGCAGATTAAATTCGTGGAATGTTTTTTACAGTTAAGTTCACAACATTTTTGTCTTCCATTCTGCTGTATAAAACGTAAGTAAAAATCTAATGTCAGCTGTCATATTAAGGGTTAAAAAGTTTTGGATTTTATTAAAAGAGGTTGTTTAGTAGAATATTTGTATATTAAAAGTAACAAGTATCGTTCTTTCCATCCTTATGATACAATATAATCTAGAATAATTTAGAGGAAACCTATCAGACTTATACATAAACAGATGATGATAATATTAAAATAGATTACGTGGAAATCGTAATCGCGAATTGAATTAAAATGCTTCAGTAAACATCTAAGTGTGAGGATTATAGACATTAAGATTTCACGAAGGCATAAATTCGCAGACCAAGTGAATATTACAACTCAAAGACTGAGTCCTTCTTGAGAAGCTGATAATCCCTCAGCCGTCACAAAATTTCATTGCGTTATTCACAAAAGCCTATTAATTGGATAATCACGAGTGAATGAGTTCTGGTCCGCAAATTCGCATTGTATATTTTCAAGGGCAATCTTGATATTATTCTTCCATCTATGACTGGGTCTTCCGAGTGGTCATCGTAATATATTCTACGTCTTTATGAGAAATCTTAGTATTATTGTACCATATACGAATAGGTCTCCGAAGTGTTCATTGTCCTACAAGTTTCCAGACTAAAATATTGTATAAATTTCTCAAATCGTTTACATGTCTCAGCCAGCTGAAGACAGAAAGGTTTTTTTTTTCCAGAAATGTGATACTTATTATCTATGGACAGTCTAGTTTTACTTACCTGAATGTATTGGTCTTCGTTGCGGAGATGTTCCGCGATGAACTCGACGGCCTCTGTGGCTTTCGACGCCTCGGGCGAAAGTAGGAGAGAGTCTGAACTTTCACTCTCACGACGTCCACCGACAGCGCCAGAACCTGCCCCACTTCCTCCAAGCTCCGCGCTTGACTTCCTGTTGATCTTACAGTTAGGATGATGCAGATCTGATAGTTCCATGAGCTCCACCTTATTTCTACTTGTGGCTGACGGCACCGTGTGTTTGGGCAATTCGGCGGGTGATCCGTAGGAAGGATGAGGTGGAGCGGACATGCCTGGCATCTCCATCATCCATCGGAGTCGAGTCTTTTTGGGACGCTTCATCAGAAGCACGATCGGCAGGTAGTAGAGGAACATCGCTCGTATCCAGGGTGGCATCCTGTGTGTCCGAGGACCACGGAAGTTCCAGTTGATGATGATGACAGTTACGAGGATACTAACTGTGTTCATGATAAATGTGAACAGTAAGTACTTCGCGATCAAAGGTAGCACCAACGAGGTTGGAGGAAGAATTTTGGATACAAGCAAGAGGAACACAACCAGCGACAAGAGAATACTGATTCCGAGGGTCACTTTCTCCCCCGCCTCCGCTGGCAGGTAGAACACTAGCACACAGAGGAAGGATATTAGCACCGTTGGTAGAATCAGATTCACTGTGTAAAACAGCGTTTTACGTCGGATTACTATATAGAAAGTAATGTCTGTTTCTGTTGGAATTACCGGGTACTCGTTCAGGTAGGCTGGTACCTCAATAATATCCCATGTACCCGATTTCCAGTAATCGGACAAGTCCACAAAATTTTTGTTATTGTACAACGCTAAGGACACTTGGTCACCGTTGAATGTCCACGATCCAAACTTCATTATGCACGTCTGCTGGTCGAAAGGGAAGTACGTTACATCAATCGTGCACGAACTCTGAAATGAGAAGAAAATGTATTAGTGTAAATATTTTGGAAAAACAGTCAACGAACGCCACATCGTATTGAAGAATCATTTACTCATCGTCCTGATGATATAGATAACAAAGGCTCTGAAACGTCGGTAATAATCTTACCAGGCTACACGGCGCTAAAACACAGAAGACAGCCACCTTTGGATTCAGTCGAGAAATCCTTCTGTATATTAAATGTTTATAGAATACTTTAATAAGACTTCCTTCAATTCGCGAATGCAATGAAGCAGTCGACGTTTTTTTTGAAAGTGTTAAAAAATAACAACACCTACCGCATATGGACAGACATAGTAACTTACTAACAGAAGACATTTCCTTAAAATTTCAGCACTAAAAGGGCTAGACTCTTAATAACTAACATTTGCGAATGTAAGGCACACTCAATATTATAAAATTATTTCGAGCAGAAGTTCTTATTTCAGCAAATACTGTTTTCATATAAGGTTTCCCTTGCTAAAGTTTCAGCACGGAAATATATAGACTGCTATAATAAAATATTGCTTGCGGACATTAGACTACAGCCTATTACAGCAGCAAGCTTGAAATTACAGTATAATGTATAAGTGCAGATCGTTATTTCTTCTGGAAGATGATGGATTTGACTCTGCTACAGCGTCTGCATCTTTATTCATCCATGTGACAGAACGAAAAGAAGGCACAGAACTGGAGAGATTGGCTATAACGACCTACAATGTGAATCAATAAGCCAGGTTGGAATTTACATTCCTGGAGGAGAAGACAACCTGACAGTTACTGGGTTCGGAGATTTTTCTGCACAAATATTCGAACTCGTCTTCTAATTTTCTAATACCTCTCCTATGTTCCGCATATCATGGAGAAACAAACAGAAAGGCAGAGAATGATAAAACGTGGGAGATGAGAAGCGAAGCCACACCATTCACTAAAATATTTAATCTCATTCAGGGGTAGTAAAATGTTCTATAGGGAGCCAGATGTGACAAAGTCCGAGAGTGTTAGAAAATTTTCTCGGAATTATATCATGTTGCATAATATTTATAATATGTTATATATAAAATTTATAATATTAATGGCCGCGGGTTAATGTCAGAATTAAAACAAAAGATATAAGACAGCCATCTTCTTATGAATCTTAAATCCTACTTAGTTTTACATTCGCACTGGCCGAATGTATGTATACACGTACACAAATACGTAAAATTTACACTGTCATTAATTTAATTAATTATATTATGGAATCTGATTGGTGTTCTCTAGGTGTTAAAGACACGCGTGAAACGAAATCTATTACAAGATCATTAGATTATTTCTTAATCAGTTGAATATATTAAAGCAATAATTGAGGAGTTCCTAGGAAACACGACATTAGTTCAAAATGGATATTTGCAATCTTATGGTTTAAACCTGCACTCTTAAGGGAGGATCATCATTCTGGTATAGATCGCATTATTCCAAAAGAATATGAGTGGTGAAATATATTTGTTTTCCTGCCTAAGGTGTAATTTCTTAGGCAAGAACAACGTATGTCCATTTATTTTTGTCTTATCTCTGTAGAAGTAAAATACGTACACACTTGTAACCACATTCATAAGTTGTCACATAGTTAAATGGACTGATACAAAATCATAATTTTAAGAAATTTTCACTAGTTCAAATGCTGAAATTTTTTTTACGAGATTTAAAAAAAAACACTTTAATTTTGGAGGTATGTCGTTGTCCCACATACCCCTCAATTGACAACCTCCAAAGCTGTAAATCCAAAATTTACAATGTAAGATTTCAATATAAATAACAAGTTTCCCTGTGCGATAATCATGTTTCTAATTTTTATTTTCTCAGAGTGTTTTCGCCTCATTTAACAATTTCGTCTAATCTTTCTAATCGATTCCCGTAATTGTTATGCTCTTGTATTTTTATTCACAGGAACCGCCCGGTAACATGAACAAACCAGAGGAACTTGTGGTTATGATGAAAAAAAATATTCATTTATTCATGCCCTGGGCAGGTTATTAACACGGTACTAGAATCTTCGCTAGACCGTGCAAACCTGAAACTGTTAGGTCACTGGTGTTAGTATAACACAATGGTGTTATGATCTGCTAATATAAGGAATACTAGCCCAGTTGCAGGTTACAGACGCAAACACTGTAATAAAATTTTAATACAACTGCAGTAGGCAGAACCATTACGCCATAGTGAACGGACAATAAAGATAACACAAAATATATGAAAAAGTAAGGACGGTGAAATAAGTGTATAAAAAGTAAGAGCAAAAAATATGAGTCGTGCTGAAGTAAACATGAATATAACAAGGAGACTTAACATAAAAGAAAATTGGCGAAATGATGTAGAAGCGGGGAGTGAAATGTTACTGAAGAATACAAGAAAATGAAATTATCTCGGTCGGACAGAGACGGAAAATAAAGAAAAGAAATTTGAAAACTAGTGAAAGTAGCAACTGGAGAAAAAGAAATAGAACGGGAAAGAAATGAAAACGGAAAAAGCGAAATGAGATAAATGAATAACAAGTAACAAAATAAAATACATACGCAGACAAACATAAGACGAAGAAAATGTGGCAGACAAATTGATAAGCAGATTGATTGTGACAAACATATGTACACAGATATGTAAGTAGATTTTGAAAAAAAATAAAAAATAAACGTAGAATAGAAGGAAAGGTAAAATATAAAGGGAATAGTAATAAATTTAAAAATGCATACGAACAAGAAACAGAAATTACATAATATTTTTCATTTCACAAAAAAAAAGTATTTTTACGATATCATCCTCTCTTGAGATTTAGCTGCTGCTTAAACTTCAAGTCACAAAAAGAATATTAGTAAATAACAGTGGGAATCTTGCAGCAAAGACCTACACTGGATGCTGAAATTATTGTCGTTAATTTTATTTAATCTTAAATCCGAGAGTCTTTCGCTTATAAATACAGGTATACACAGAATGTCCTTGCGTCTCTGTGTCAGAATCAGTTGTGGTGGGGGGGCAGTATTCATTATAATGACTTACTACGTATAATTGCCCTTGTGTTTACCTGGTAAATGGCTGGGGGTACCCACAAGACCTCTCCGTTCGGGTAGATCAATACGTTGGACTTGTATCTCACTTCATAGTTGCCATCAGCACTGAAACATGAGATCAAAAACAGAAAATTGAAATCCGATAACCAATTAAACATTTGGAAAAATACAGAATTTTTACGTTAATGCTTTCTTATTCCCCCCCCCCCCGGACAAAACTTGAGCTGTAGGATCACCTCTTATCGGCTGTCAGCTACGGTTTATTCAGTATATTCTCTGTGACCCTCCTAATCTGGGAACCTTCTCCATTTTTAACTCGAAATAGACCTCTGAAACGTCGATAAACGCCTACCATACATAGCTACAACGCAGAAGGTAGCCATCTTGGTGGTTTCTCTGTGATAGTCTAAACGACGGAAGATAAATTTGAGATTTGGAAAACATCAGAAGTCTTCAGGCCAGAAATTAGAGGGCTAAACTGGACTTTGACATCAGTTGGGGTGGATTAGATTCATCTGGCTTAAGATATTGGCGAATTCCTACGTGTTATGTGAACGGTTACGATAGTCCTATAACCGATATGAAATTACTTAAAAGTCTTAGCAAATATCAACTTCTCAAGGATATTTTTCATGTAGTTAATCTATTTATAAAGGGATTAATTAATTTCAGTGATATTTTAATTCGTTACTCTTTCGGGGACTTGAACTATGGTCACCCAGTCAGCGATTTGTCTGCTGACTGGGCTATATACCATTCGTCTTTAAACTTGGGCATAAAAATATGAGGCCATAATTGCAATTCATAATAATCTGCTTATGAAAATATCTCGTCTACGTGGGACATAAACGTCATCAAATATTTTATGAACGTGTAATTATTTTACAGGTAGTGGACAAGTGAAGTCCTTGTTTAAAAATGCAAATTAACATTATCCAAGTGGAGTGACGTACCGGTACGTAAAATTATAAAGTGGATAGGTAAATTATGTCGTAATTTCATTCATAGTTTCCGCGTCCGGTGTATAATAATATACATAATAATAATGACAATAATAATATTAATGCACCATTTATAATAGCGTGTTCGGCACAAAATCTTTCCTAGTGACACTAACGCACTAATTTATTAACCATATTAGCGAAATACTGTAATTATAAAATTCCAGCACCAACACTAAATTTTTAACTAGCTGGATCGTTTGTTGTCCTCTATTTCTTGATCTAGTAGGGTTGTACTTCTACATTAATTTAGGGTGTCGATAATTTTCTGGGATTTTTCACCATGTAATATTTTGGCTGTTAGACGATGCGTTTATAATTTTAAACCTGATTATTGACGCAATGCATTTCTCTGACACGTTAGCCCATACTAAAAATATTACATGGTGTAAAAGCCCAGAAAATTATCGATATTCACGTAGCTTTAAACGCTTTAAATCTTAAATTAATTTCGTATACACGTATCTCTACATTCTGTCAATATAGTAAATTAATTTCGCTAATCCAAAATTTTTGTCCATAAAGATTAAATCTCGTCGTTTCACTATTCAATATGCTCAGCCATTTTATGACAGGCGACAATAAATTTCGTGTTCCATTTCAGCAACATTGTCGTGTTTATTTGGTTCTTTAATTTAAAATCCGTCATTGTGACCGAATATTAAATTTGTTACAGTCATTTACAAATAGGACTTTAGAACAAAGAACACGAATTTATTCATACTTGTGCATAAAGTGTTATTTTATACTTCACATAAACGAAGCGAATGTTCAATGCCTTCCAATTTTTTGTTATGTAGGCCCGCAACGTATTCAAGTCTCTTGTACCGTTCTTCTTTCAAACGCCCGGAATGGAAATATAGCTGTACCGCATTGTATGTTATGCAATAACCGACTAGAGCCGCTAACTGCGTTTACTGCATACAGTCTTCCTAAGAACATTGTAATGGTGTACGTTCAGACATGAAGGTATGGAATGAGGCATAAGCTGAAGGAATAAAGAAGGAAATAGATTACAAGACTGATGTTTCCAAGCAAGAATTTGTAACTTGTTACTTGGGGCTGCACTGTAAAATATTCGAAGGAACTGAACATTCAGTTTATACTATCCAGTTGGTTTAATGTTTGCACCTAAGTATCTACATTTTATAGGAATTCACGACAGTTTGTCTGCTTCCGATATTTCAGAATGCAATTTCAAGTTTTGTGATGTGGAATTTAAGAGAAGAATAAAGGTCATAGCTCAATTCTAAAAGTTTGTGACGATGGTACGTTGTTAAAGTAAACTGTTTTCTGGATATTATCCATCGTCCAAGATTAAATAAAATCAATAAAAACCACGACGTTTCGGATATGGGACTCTATCAACGTCTTCAGGTAGACCTATTCAGTTGGACCCAATCCATAGAGCTAATCCCTATCTCCGGATGATCTCCGAAACGTCGTGAATTTTATTTATTAGACGACGAAAAATATCCAGAAACGTCTTTACTCAATAAAGGACATAGGCTATTACTTTGGAAACGAAAGGAGAATTATAAAATGTTACGTGGTTTGTAATGTTAGAAAAATATTTGCGCATTGATCTGTATGTCGTATTTTATAAACCTTAAGTTGAAAAGAAATCTGTTAAAGAATGAAAGAACTTCCCAGCATATGTTTAAAAAGAAGTAAATACATTGTTCGATTTAAAAAAATTAGGCACAAGGCCCTCAAAAACACGAGCGACAGTACTTAAAATTTTTTATGGATAATTATTGTTAGGAGACGCGTGTTTTCAGAGTTGTAACGCCGTGTAGTCTGGTAGAAGATCACCAAATTTTCGGAGGTCCTTGCTGCCTCCATCTTCATGAGAATGGAGGCAGCAAGGACCTCTGAAACGTTGATAAACGTCTATCAGACTACACGGCGCTTCAACCCAGAAGCCATTCATCTACGGACTCACAGCCGTGAAAATCTCAATTCCTACTAAATTCTTGTTAGTCAGTCATTCCTAGTGGACTTTTGTTTTAAAATGCAAATGAATATCGCGTGAATATGGAAAAAGTAGAGAGACGCTGATGTCAATCACATGGATTGGCGTCGCGATGCAGGTTACGTCCCAGTGCCCGATTACGTTCAATATCAATTAACAGAAATGTCCAACGAGGAATATCTGACCAGGTTTAGAGCGAAATCCATTTATTGGACCACGAAGTGAATATCATGCCTGTTTGTGTCTCCTTGTGCGTTTTATGATCACCAGAGTTTTAGATATATTACGTATATTTTTGCGCTAAAATATGTTACAAATCCAAGACGAATTTATTTTGTTCTGTATCGTTCGACAATAGACTTTGACTTTACACGAATCTAAAATAAAACTTGAATAATTTCTTAAAATTTATTCATTCACTAGAGTAAAATATATTTGAAAATATTTTCGCTGCGTTGTACATGTAAAGAAAAAGAATCAAAAATAATTATTTTTATATACCGTAATATATTTATTGTCGATTAAGTCTCTCAATACGGGAATATAATACTCAGATGCTTTACTGACTACGTTACCATGGATTCCACATTAACCAGCATTTAATATAAATATTGATGTTTTATGTCATATTTAATTCATACTTTTTGCATAGATCGACATTTTGCTATTTACTGAAACACTGATCAACACAATTTTGGTACCGCATAAAACAATAGTGTCTTGTAGCAAATGCAAATATTCAGACAACAACAAACATTTAAACCAACTACGTCGTTTTGTTACAAAACCTGTAACGGAAATTTAATTCCGCTGTTTCTAATATCATACAAGTGAATCGAGAAGAACATTCTTACAACAAGACCGCCTGGTTCTCTAGATTCAGACGCCACAACAACATCAGCTTTATCACCACGAAGAACATCACAAAAACATCAATAATTTTAACATTAGACGCCATCATAGCACAAGGAGACACTCGTGAATCTCTTATCAGCGAATATTATAAAGTTACGTCAAGGCAGGCAGAGCATAATGAAAATACAAGGAAGGTTCAATAGGTAAGCACCAGAGGACGGTACATAATACATTTACGCAGATTTAGGCCTACTAGTTGCAATACAATCATCTCGTATTTCGGATGCACGCCATGTCATATCGTAGCATGAAGATCTTAATAATTCTGTGATTATTTCCATGGAGAAGAATACTTCTTGAGAAACTGATAGTTGTTCAGTTAGTCAAGAAATATTTCGCCTTTCATGGAACCCGAAGGTCCATTACCGTCCTCCATGTTCAGGACTTGTAAAAAGTACGAGACCCCAAAACGTTGATGTCTACCCAAAATTCCACGCGGGATGGCAAGCGAAATCTTCACCGCCGTAGAAACCTCAAATCTCGTACAACTTACTTGTTAAAGAGAACTATGTCCGGTTTCCAAACTTTGTCAGGAGGAAGTCTCAGGACCCCGATTCCGCCGTAGTCTGCTTCGTCCCATTGCAGTTGATAATCATTCCACACCTGTAACAACAGAATACGACGAAATTATGCACAACAAATAAATCAGAGATGCGTTTCGATCTGAACTAGCGTAGAAACCGTTCCATTTTATCCTAAACTTAGATAAGACGAGGTAGGTAATGCACGTACAGCGTAACCATTCTAGGAGTGTTTTCCATAATTAAACCTTTGACCTTTGCGAATGTCCAGAGAATTCACCGGCCAGGGAATTCCCGCTTATTAATTTTCAATCGCAGAAAGTTGTAGGTAGTCACGTAAATTGCCCGTTATTGTTGCACTATTTGAAAATAATGGGATGTGAAGTTTAGTGTAACTTACGTACTTAGATTCTAGTACAAATTCGTTCAGGTATTCTCAAGTTGTTTTTGCTAACGGACATGGCGAAGCTAACAGGCGAATTTTTTTAAACTTTTATTTGTAAACGCGACTAAGAACTACCTACATTCATTCATATTTGACAGTAAATACAACATTTTTTTAAATGTTTGTAAAGAGGGTGATTCAGTAGTAATTTTTGTGAAGTATGTTTGATATTACAGCGTGTGAGTCATTACACGTACCACGTAAATTACGGTATAAGGAATCTGTGCATTACAAACGAACAAAAAAATGCTTTTAATTTTAATATTTTCCCATATAATTCTGAATCATCCATATTGCTACCAAACTGTTTGCTTGAAAAAAGTCAAATTTCACAATGACACGGTTTAAAAATCATACACACTGGCTCAAACTGTAATGTTTCTGATCTGTATTTGTTAGGTGTGCACCTCTAAACTTGTCGGGGACAATTTATTGAGATTATGCATGGTTTTACTCAGGTTTTATAGACAAATGGCGAAACATTGCCATCTAAAAGGCGACAAATTTTCCTCCTCAGTATTTTAATTTTCAAAGAATGTAATTATCTTCTCGTGGCATTCATGATAAATAACTTTAAAACCGATACAATGTTATTAAGGAATCGATCAAAATATTTTAAATAAAAATAAGACGTTCCTTCTAGCTTTATTTAAACGAGTCTGTTGATGGGAGATAATACGCTTAATATTTAGTTTATACACTAACAAGTAACTTGCATTCCTTCTTAGGATGTGTATGACTGCTTAATCATGTCTTTATAAATTTGTTACTGTTAACAAATTGAAAATAAAAAAAAATAAAAATATTGGTTTTGAATATACGAGGTGCGATCGGAAAGTTTCTAGACAGCGCCTATAAAAACCCGTACACTTATCTCAGGTATTAAATTCATCCATTATCCTCGAAGTAGTTCCCCTGGGAGTGAACACAACGATCCCAGCGCCGCTGCCAAGCCTGGAAGCGTCCCTGGAAATCTTTCTTTGTCAGCCTGTCAAGCACCATCTGCGATTCTGCCTGAAT